CCGACCTGACCCGTTCCATCAACGCGACCCAACCACTGCTCAAGCTTTGGAAATTGCGACACGCAATTGGAAGAAAACCGTCGCGGCCAGAATGTGAAGAAGAAAAATCCACAGGCGGGAGCTAATGCACAGGTCGGCCTTCGCCACTATTGCGGTTGTTGCACCATCAACCCAACCTGCCGGGATGCCGAGACGAGGGCAACATAGCGGCGGCAACTTAACCGGAGATAGCAAAATCACAGTGCCGGTCAACGCTCTCTGAGAGGTGCCGATCTGCCTCGGGTCTAGCGCCACAATAAGCCCGGACCGAAGTAGCGTCTTTGGTTCCTCCGGCAGCACCAGAGGCTTCCTCCGGGAGACGGCATTGGGGTAGTCGGCGGGTAATCGGCTTTTGAGGATTTCGAGACAGTCATTGTGTTGATAAATGAAGTACGGGTTTTGAGAACTTCACGGCGATCATAACAAAGGGAAACTTTGAAACAAAAGGCGAGGATAAACACCCCGAATAAGGTTGTTTTCTTGTGGGGGATCTCAGACATAGTTAATTTGTACGATTACCAGTTAGCAGCGGAGACATTCGAGAGAAGTCGGAACACATTAGCCACGAGTGTGGCTCAGTCGGAGTTTGGTCCGGCAGTACGCGTCACCTCCCGCAATGGCACTCGTTGGTCGGCCCAGTTCTGTGCCACGGACGTGAATAGACCAGAGTACTTTGGGATCTTCTCTTTTGGACACGCCCTTTGGAAGCAGACATCTCTAAGATTTCGCAACTTGCTTGCTTTCGATTTGATTTCTCACTTCCTGGGATTTCTCCTATGTTATATTGTACGACGCGGCCTACTGACTATGTTACGATGCTAGCTTAAAGCACCTCTTCAGAATCCACGCCTCATTATTGGAAGGGTGGGTTGAGGCGTATTCAGCTCCCGGAGAAAGCTCACTACAATAAGCGCGTCTGACGCGTCACGGCACCAAGCACCGTGTGTTCGGGGTAACCACATGGCATATTTGTCTAGGTCATCGTTTCCAGCCGCAAGTGAAATTGTCGTCTGGCGCTAGTGGCTTCATGGAGGATAAAAATAATACGAATGCCACTCAGCAATCTGAAAGATCTAGTCGTAATTCAAAGTGTTTTGCACAACGTTTTCGAGGCTGCTGCTGAGCTTGTCATACTCGCGCTCTCTCCCTCTCCGTCGGATATTGAAAAGTAACGTTCAGCTACGCGAAGGAATTTCAAAAACACATGGCTTGTTTAAACAGACTAATACGCGACCAAGGCAAAGGAGAGGGCAAGTCACCGTCTCTATGTCATTCACTTTGAAGGTTTCGCGCATTTCTTTTGAACCTGCATCATTTCCTGGCCGTATGTTGTGGCCCTTGAGAATGATTTAACGCTCGCTGGTATCATCAAATTTGTGACGCCAAGTGAATCAGACTTTGACAACGACCGACTTCTACGAGATATTGCGCGTGCGTCGCTCTTTCGTTTGCGTGGAGTGTACCGTCCGTCGTATCGCACTACTGTTTGATTTTTACTGACTCAAATGTCTTCATGTCAGGAAAGAATTAATCTACTGTGATATATTGACATTGCCCGCGGAGCCCCGCAACAAACTGTTCCTCTCATGCTTCATAGCAGACCAACTTTCAAAGTGTGCGGTGAGTGCCTGATCATACCACTGGACACAGAGTTTTATTGATTGCTGTTACATCCGCAATGTCAAGGTCGTTCAATTTATCTGAGGATCTACCGGCCCGCTGGGCCATTGACCACCTTCTTGGGGCTCATTTTAAAAGACTTTCGGGTACATGTAGGTGTACGTCAGCTCACCGCATTCTCTCATTCCACATGCTCAGCCTTTCGCGACCAACTTGAACCACAACCGTCTTCAACATGATATTTCGTTCCATCGCCACCATTTTTCTCACCGTTTACGCCTCGGCGACCTTTGCCGCCCCCGTCGAAGATGTGTCCAGCCTGATCATTGAAGCGCGCGGGCCGACATGCCGCTCTGGCTTCATCCAGTCTGGCCATATTTCTTGGGACGTTTGCGTACTCGATGCCCAGGCTAAATGTCGCAACAGACAATACCTATTCGAGCAAGAAAACTGGCTCTTGACGACCCATAGATCCGAAAAGAAGTGTTGGGCAGATGTACGCTTAAAATTGCCACTTGAAGGTCCTTCGTGGCTGACATACATCTCATAGTATTAATGTTGCATCAAGGGTTAGGTGTGAGGTGGTTTGAGATGGTTTGATGTTATCTATCTTGGGGATACACATAGCAGCGTAGTAGAACAATACTTGGGGTTATGGTAATGGAACATATCAAAGTCGAGCAAAGTTTGCACCTTTGATCCCAAAGCACAGACACCTAGAGTGGCCTGAAGCCCTCCAAAATTGGTATCCTGGTCGAGCCTGTTCTGGATAGTTGATATGGAATTATTGATGTAAACCTTCATCGGGCCCCGGCTTTCTCTAGCCTAAGCCATCCAGGCCCTCATATGTCTCCCAGTTAGAGTCATGAGGCAGTCTAAAAGGTGTGCCAGCACGCGGTAACCTGCATTTCGAAAGTGTGGAAAAAGTTGGAAGGGAAGGACGATCGTGCCCTCGGCTGCCTGCAGATTATCGCTTGTCAACGCAAGTTATTCGACCACGCCTTTTGGGCTATGCAATGCCAGTACGACATCGAAGCGTCCCAGTTCAGCTTATCAATTTCATTCTCTGTGAAGTATCTCACAGCGAACACTGTAGAAACCTTAGTCTTTGATCTCGATCAATAGCATTGTCTGGCCTGGCCAGCTTCAAAGCCGGGATTCAGGAACAAACCACGCACAAGCAACACAGGAGACATTCAAGGCGCTGTCGAACACGATTGTCTTGTATTCAGCTTCTTGACAAAAACAAAACACAGAGAATATACGACTTGGTCGCCAATGTGGTACAACTCCACTGGTGTTGCACCAGGCAAAGTGGCCACCTCTCGATGGGATTTAGACACAAAGGAAGCATTTCGACCCGAAGACACTTAAGTGACGCAAGTCTATGATATTTCCAAGATTTCTTACGGCAGACTCCCAAATCAAATCGCCATACCAAACATGTTTTCACGTCCCCGACGATACCGCAACTCCGACGTTGAGCTCGCCCACATTCGTACAGGGGAACCCTATCAGCCTCGTCCAAATGTTTATGCTCCCCAACGTTCAGAATACAGGCTCATATGCAATGGGACATCCCAACGGAAGCGATCATGCTGGACAACAAAGCCTAGACTGAGCACATACATCACACTTTGGGCAGTTGGCTGCTACGGTATCTGCGCGCTAACAATGTAAATTCCCCCTTCCTCAGTTGTACAGTCGTACTCTCTCACCAGGATCATGCTGACCCCATCATAGTGGTATTCTTTTCTATTGTCTCATCCTTCGACCACCCAGAGAAGCATCCTTGCAACCATTCCAAGACATCTTCTTCAAAATCCCCGAGGACTTGGGTTATGCCTCGAAAGATTATGTTTCTACATGGCTCAACAACGCCACGTTCCACGCGACTCCTGCTCAATGTCACTCTCACAACGACTACTGGCGCCCAGTACCTCTATTTTCAGCGTTATCTGTAGGGTGCATCGGCATTGAGGCTGATGTATGGCTCAGAAACGGCGATCTTATGGTCGGTCATGATCAACCATCGCTTTCCCCAAACCGGACTCTGAAGTCTCTGTATCTCGACCCGCTGGAAGAAATTCTTGACGATCAAAATCGTGAGGTCACTGAGGGGAACGCCACAAGACGCGGCGTCTTTTCTCTCCAAGACGATGCCCAAATCATCCTCCTCATCGACGTCAAGACCGATGCGAAGGAAACGTGGCCCGTCGTGCTCCGCCAACTCGAGCCGCTCCGTGAGAAGCACTACCTCACAAGCCACAACTCCTCGGCATCAAGCGACACCAAAAACCATTTGCCCGCACCTTTGATCGTGGTCGGCACTGGGAGTTTAGATATGGACACCCTCGTCGCTAATCACTCAGACGCCACAACCACATTTCACGACTATCACGACGCCTTCTTCGACGCACCTCTAACCGACCTCCCCGCAGCCAACAACACCAACGAAACAAAGTACAACACCACCAACTCCGTCTACGCCAGTGCATCCTTCAAACAAGCCATCGGATCCGTCCGCCTCGGCTTCAGCCGCACCCAGCGAGAAAAGCTCCGCAGCCAGGTCCAGGCGGCGAAGAGCCTCGGCCTGCAGCCGCGGTACTGGGACATTCCGGACTGGCCGCTCAAGTACCGCGATTACATCTGGACCGAGCTGAGGGCGGAGGGCGTCGAGATTTTGAGCGTGGATAATGTGAAGCATGCCGCGGGCGGTGTGTGGTACGGTTCGTACTTCGCTGATGCGGTTGCCATGACTGTGATTTCTCCGGCTACGTTTTTGGTTATGTCGGTTTTGTTTTGGCGTGCTGTTTGGTACTGGCGGTATATGTAGGTATGTGAAAGGGTGGATGGTATAGATATTGTGGCGTTTTGGCATTGGGTATGGCGTTCTCGTTTCCTGAATCTCAACGTTTGCCATTTGGGCGTATTTGTTTCAACCCGTGCAACATGGAATCGGCGATAGTGTTAAAGACTTAAGATCATTGGGGTTCCCTACGCAAACCCAGAGCTCATTCCGTCTGTTGTTCGGTGGAATACGGAGAAAGTTTTGACACGTATTTACAACCATGACCGCCTCGAATACCCTTCGGGGCGTCGCACGTTGTACGGACTTGGTCTGAAAGAACATCGGCCAAGGTCGAACAGCTGTCCTGATCCCTTCCTTTGTCAACAAACGATGTTTTGAGCATGGATTGGCCCAACGCCCGCCCAGTAAACCACATCCAGATTGCATGGTTCATCTTTCATAAACGCAGAACTCGCCTTCACAATCCACGACCACCTCCTTCAATCCAGGACTACCACCACCGTCTTCCTCCAACATCTCATTTCCAACCATGCCCTCGCCACTCCACCTGTTCCCCATCTTCCTCCTCGCATCCCTCACAACCGCCCTCCTCCCCATCCTTGACACTCCCGACCCCCTCATCAAACACATCGCCAACACAAACCCACCCGCCTGGCTCAGCCCGCAAGCCTGCCATCCCCGCTCCAACTTCCCCTCCGCCGCCCCCGTCAACGCGACCGACCTCCGCGAGGACGCAAAGCGCTTCTGCGCCCGCGCAGCCGAGCTCGCGCCCGTAATGCGTCCCCAACAGGTGCTGCGCGGGAACGGCCTCGGGGCTTACAGCGAGCAGCATTTCCAGCTGCAGTTCCTGCATCCGTGCCCCCACCGCAATATAAAGGCGCAAGACCCGGAAGACCCGGTAGGCGGTGGGACACTGGTCAAGGGGGAGAGCTGGTGCGTGGAGTTGCTGGCTGAGAATTGGAACCAGTGTGAGTTGAACCCTTGGGAAATATGGTAGAGGGCTCGCGGACTGACTTTTTCTAGGCAAAGACCAGAAGTATGCGGGTGTCGGTGGGATGAGGGTTGCTGGGTGCGTGCTGTACACGACGGGACCGGGGCACTTGGCCCAGTAATCGTAAAGACGCAAGATGAACTTACTCGGTCAAGCTCGACGCCAGTTGGGAATGGGTTCTCTTCTCTGTACATGATGGTTCAGGCTGTCCAAGCCATATGATTGGTATTAGTGTACGGAAATGGTATTACTTTTAGATGGTGGCTCTATGTGCAACCGCTGGATCCTCCAAGTCTATATATATGGTGAGCCCGTAGGACTCCATGCAGTCCAAACGCCAATAAATGCCGCGCTTTTTCCTCTCATAATAGTCACACATACTCGTCCCATCATGATACACCTCCCCTTTACCCTTCTTAAGCCTTCCCACTACCAGTCTCCTGCTCAAAGTCTCTCGCCTGCGTCTGCTCCTCCAGCACGCCCGTCGTCTTCTCCCCATCAGCCGCCCCCGCCGCCTCCCTCTCCTTCTTCCGCGCAAGCCTCGCCAGCGCCTTGGCTCGCTTGCTCTCGTTCTTCTCCTGGTCCTCGCGCATCTGCTTGATGACCGGACTCTTCGCGCGGATCCGCTCGCCGTAGCGCCAGAAAATGATCGGGATCGGGATCAGCGCGAGCTCAAGCAGGCCGCACAGCGTGCCGGCCCACTGCGGCGTCAGCGCACGGTACATGCTCGCGCCCGCGAGGGGCAGCGTGCCGCCGAACATGCTGCGCATGACGGCGTTGCCGGCGAGCGCGCTGGCGGCGTAGATGCCGTACGCGCCGGCGAGGTAGTTGCTGCCGTAGATGAAGGAGATGGTGTTGCCAGCGCCGAAGGGGATGCCGAAGGCGATGGGGACGGCCCAGTGGATTGTCTTCGGCAGGCAGGTCCAGGAGAAGACGAGCTGGCCGATGGGGGTAAGAATGGCGCCGATGGTCATGACGCGCGCGGTGGCCTCGGGCGGGACGCGGCCGGTGACGGGGTCCTTGGGGTGGGCGTTGATGATGCGCCGGAAGAGGGGCTCGCTGAGGATCGCGGCGATGGTGCCGACGCCGATGCCGAGGAAGGCGAGGCCCGAGGTGCCGGGGCCCCAGCCGCGGTGCTGGGAGAAGACAATCGGGTAGGCGACGAAGCAGAGGTACAGGATGCCGTAGATGAGGGAGATCCTTGGGTGGAAAAGTTAGCATCTCTAGAGGTGGATACTTGCAATCCAAGGGTCTTACCAGATGTTGAAGAACCACAGGATGGGCTCGGTGAAGCTGAGGACAAAGGGGCGGCTGAGGTTGAGCTTGATCAGATGCAGCTTGGAAACCTTCTCGTCGTAGCGGCACCACCAGCGCGGATCGTCGGTCTCCTTGCGGATGCGGGCAGCCTTGCGCTGGAGGATGGTCGGGGCGTAGGTCTCCTTGAGGGTGAACATGAGGCAGATGGCGAAGCCGGCGATAATGAGGACGACCCAGTTGGTCCAGCGCCAGCCAAGGTACTGGAAGACGAAGCCGCCGATGAGGGGACCGGTGACCGGGCCGTTCAGGGGCGCGATGCTGTAGAAGGACATGGCAAGGGCGCGGTACTCCTCGTCAGCGATGTCGACGACGGTTCCGGGGCTGTTGGCGATCAAGGCGGCACCAAAGAGGGCGCTGTCAAAATCATGTTAGATATCACAAGGGAGAGGTGTGCTAAGAAGGGGAGTGACATACCCAAAGAAGCGGACGACGATGAGTGTCGTAAGGGACTTGGCCAGACCGCAGGGGATGATGAGCAGCGCCGAGATGATGAAGCATACGACGTAGACGTATTGTCGGCCGTACAGCTCACTCATCGGGGCGACGATGAGACTACCGGCGGCGAGGCCGAGAAGGTAGGTCGTGACACCCAGTGTCGCGATGACCTGGGACGACTCATACTCGATGACAAGACCCGGGATGGACGCCGTGTAACTTGTGCTGTAGAGGACAATGACCCAGGTGGAGAAGGACACGACGAAGATGGTCCAGGCACGGTACCACAGCGGCCAGTTCTTGGGGTTCTCGGGGTCGCCGGGCTCGAAGGTGACCTCGAAGTCGGGCGGGCGCGAGGCGGTGCTTCCGATGCTGGTGCCGGTGCGGGTGTAGGTGATGGGCTCCCGGGCGGCGTGCTCGACCTCGGTCTCGAGGTCCGGTGTGAGGGCGTGGGAGAGCGGCTCGAGGGGGTCGGTGTCGGTGGAGGATGTGGACAGGGCGCGGCTCCGGTGGCTGTGCCGAGACTGGACGGTCTTGAGAGGGCGGAGCTGCGGCGAGTCTTGGCCGGAGCTGGTCGTTGTCGCGGTCTCGGCCGCGTGGGACCCCTTTTCCGGATCGGGGACGGACATTGTGTGTGGTGGAACTTTACGGCACGGCCCGGATGTAGATGCTGATTTGGTAGGCGAGGTATCTCAAGCTCAACGTGTTGCTCTCATGAGATGAGCCGAGTGCGACGCGCTCGTGCTGCCCGATGCTGGATGTGACGAGAACGGATGACGGAGGCGGCGCCGGTCCTCGGGAGACGAGTTTTGAACGTCGCAACCAGCTTACAACACTCGACTGAAACGGCCAATGATGCGCTTTTATCTGCGAATGACCGCGGAACAAGCGCGTGAATTACAATGGGGAACTGAAGACGAGCGATGAGTCAACAATGAGTGACCTTTTGGCAAGAAGTATGCATTCCCCGGCCGCGAAAAAACGAGAAACGAGGGAAGGAAGAAGATTGAACAGAACCAACAAAAATTTGGGCAAAGCGGCCCGTCAAACGTTTGTTGCTGGTCAGACAGACAAGGTAGACGGCCCCTCTCCGTGGAGCCCAAGGGGTGCAGGACTTTGCAGGAGTGCAGACGGATGGATGGTGGGTGGGCAGCCCGCATCCGATCCACCGGGGCGAAGGGTGTGATGGGGCGCGATGTGGGTAATCAAGGCACGCAATCGGAGGCGTGGGTGGGCATTCTGGAAAAAAAGACGTGGGCGATCCCGCCCTTTCTGCGGCCTGTCGATGGGACTTTGGACTGTTTCTGTGTGCGTCCCCTTGGGGATAAACGGTGGGGACTAGGGGTCGTGTCGGTCGTTTGGGGCCAAGATAGCCGGTGTTGGAAGGCCGGCCGAAGGAGAACCATGTTGAGGACTCGATTTGTGATCTATACATAGTATTAGTAAGGTATCTGAATGATATCCTCATTGTCCGACATCAGGGAATGGAATGGCGCGTCGTCGAGAAGAATGAACCGAGACATCCAGGTTCATGCAGCCAAAGCGCTTGCTCAGGTATTCAAAGCCCTTCTCCGCATCATGACCGCCTCTCTCCATTTGGCTGATTGCTGCTGTGAAACGAGACGGCAAAGTGACAAATTCCGGCTCGTTATCAGAAGAGCCAATCTTTCCCTTGAGATGAATAGGAGGAGTGGATACTCAGCCGAGGTCCGCTTTTGGACCCCACCTCCCTTCTCCAGTCGTGGCCAAGTCTCCCCGTGGGAATAAGCGGCAAGCGGGCAGGGCCAGGCCAAGCCGGGAACACAAGAGTCATGACCTGGGCCGGCTCCAACAGCAGGGCAGCTAGCAACACTCCGGCGAGGGAGCTGCATCGCAAGTGCTGAGAACATGGTTGTGCGCTGGCGGACGACGTTGGAAGATGCTGTTCCTTCCTAGCGAAGAAGAAGCACCTACCTAGCTGTCAATCGTCTAATGACATGAAAGCATATCGAGGGATACCACACTGAAAGTTCTGCGGATTGGGCCCTCCGCATGGGATGTGGAACCTGTCACGGCGGCCACCAGGCGTCCCTGTCCAGTGTCTCGACCACAACCTGTGTGGTCGCAAATTATTTCCGGAGCAGGACGGCGCTTGCCTCTGGCAATTCGGGCTCCATCCGAGACTTCTCTCATCTCTTTCGGCGGGGCGCTGCCCGCGGGAAGGCTGCCTGCAGCGGGCAAACACGCTTGTGCAAAGGTTCCCTCTTGCTCCCGTCGTCCTTGGCAAGCCTCGCCAACGGCAGTTGTGGTATATAGTCGAGAGGTCATCTGGAGAAATGGAGTCACTGTGCGTGCGCCCTGACCGTTCAATCCATAGTGTTCGGCCGATGATGAGTCGCTGAGTTTGATGTGCATGGAAGGATGAACCTGGCAATGGCAAGCTGCACAGGGACTACGGTGCACTATTAGGGTAGATCTGCTAACCGCTGGTTTTAGGGTTCTGCGGACGAAAGTTAGGCTGACTCAACCCCACACCTTATTCAAATTAATTAACATAGGTTGAAGTTAACCTAACTTTAACCCTATAATTACACGTAATTATAGGTAAATAATTATAATTACACCTAAAGCTATTCCTATCCTAAAGCAGTAATTATAAGCTTATAGCTCTATCTTAATATACTTTTATTACTTATACCTTCTTATACTACCTTTTTATCTTATCTTATGCTTTATTATACTTAATACCCTTTATATACTTACTTTAATAATAAATTGTTAATAGATACTCCTTATAGGATAGAATTAGATAGCTATTTAGTTTAGTTAGTATTACCCTCTACTAATAAAACTAATAAGTCTTTAAAGCTAGTAACTCTAGAGGGTTACTATTTAAACCTTAAAAATAATATAATATATTATAATAATTACCTTAGTTCTAATTTATTATATCTTAATTAGAAGTATTAATTTATATCTAAAAACTAAGTATACTAACTTATATGTTAAAACTAAGTATATATTATCTATCCTCTCTTAACTAACTTATATTTAAAAACTAAGTATTATTTATTAAGTTATAGTTATTTTATAAAAGTCCTTAGACTTACCTATCCTCTATCTACTAATTATAATAAGGTTAGATTTAAGATCTTATTAATCTCTAGCTTATTCCTTAAGATTAATTTAATAGATTTATTCTATTAAATTAATCTTTTACTTTTTTAATTAATCTTTTATTTTACTTTAGTTAAAGTAAAGTATTACTTCTAAAGTAGTATTATATCCTTAGAGATACTTTATATATACTCTTTATATATACTTCCTCAATATTACTTTATAATAATATAAATAACTATAAAGTATCTACTAAAGGAATTATTTAGATAT